TCTTGCTTTTGGTCTAAGTTCTTTGTTCTTAGCTCACTTTAAGAGAATATTAAACTATAGGTGCATCCGTGAAGACGGATGTGTGATAAACTTATGCCTAGATATTTTTTTTAGGCTTATTTGTTGTTAAAAATATATATGCAAATGTTATAGGCATAGAGAAGATAACCCACAATTTGATTGGATGATAGAACCAAACTACAACCTGAAAGCAAAGAAAACGATTTTTATGAATTTTAAGATGCAGACTAAAACAAATATGAAATTAAATGAGAGGTGGATTATGATGTGAAAACAAGATAAATAAACAGAGAAAAAAGATTAGATAAGATGGAATCAAGCTGCTGAATGTATATCACTCTCAGCTTCATCAGATGATGATTGAAGTAGATCGAGATGAAGCAAAGCTTGCAGGATGTATATCACTTTCAAATTTGGTAAACGAATGGGATGGACTGATGGGTGGATTGAGGATGCCACAAAGATCTATGGAATGGATCTTTGATAAGTCAAGATACTCTCGATCTGTTTCACACAGACTCAAAAGACTTAGAACAATAGTTTTGAGAAAACTGGAAAAACTACATATTCATTCATAAAATTCAAAGTAGGATTATCTTACAAAGGTAGATGATTGGAGCTTATATAGACTCTCCTAGTGGAATAACAAGACCAAACAGTCATAAACTAACTTGGAAATAAAGTTTAGTCTTCAATGGAGATGATTTTGGAAGAATATGGCTGTTGGAATGAGATTTACTTGACCATAACTAGAGAACTTTATTTCTTTTGAATCTGGACGGTTTGAGAGGATATAAAAGCATCCTGGAAATCTTTTTGATGGCTTGATATGTGCTGAAGTCGTGCACAAATTGTTTGGGCAGTAGATGTTGGAGAGTTATTACCAAAGACTCCAAATATGGTAAGTTGAAGCAATAGTACATCTCTCTTATCCATTGGTTTCTGGTGCATTGTAGGAAGTCTTGCACATCCTATGGTTGGCTTAGAGTGTCTCCTGATTTCCACAAATAGATTTGGGTCTGACTAATTTGAATTGTTTGAAAACTCTTTCTAATTGATGTCGGTTTAGCCTGTTTTGGGAAATTGAGCAAATCAAGTAGATCTTCTGGTTGGATTGGATTTCGGGCTTGGTTCTTCTTTATTGGACTCCTTAAAGGCTCCTTCTTAACATATCAAATGGATTCAGTCGAGACCTCTTCATGGTTGGATTTTTACGAACCGAAATGTAGCTGAACTGGCCCATTGGATGCTGAGAAGAAGGGATAACTTGTAAAATTCATACCTCCTAATTTTCGTGGGAATTTCTCCTATTCTTGGGCTCTTTAGAAAGCTAAGAAACTCCTCTTCACTTCTAGAATTGGCTTTGGTTTGGGACGTTACTTCATTGGACTTGAATCTTCTTCTAGAGACTGGTACTCACAAATGGACGGGCAGGTACACACAAATGGACGGGCTGGGGAGCCTCCTTGTTACAGATAGTTTTTTCTTGAACTTCAAAGGCTCAGTAATTTCTTAACGAGCCATCCTTCTTTTAAAATTGGTTTCACAGCAAAAGACCTTGTGGTTGTTAAGATATTCGCCTTGGACTGAATCTTTTTCGCTGGTATCTCGTAGGGGACTGGTATGGGAGGTTTGGTGAACCTCCGGTTGAACCATGGATATCATGCCCAAAACATGAAATGAAAGTAGGGTACGAAGTATTTTTAATGTGTGTTTGAATTCAGATAGCAGGAAAAAAAACGATCTAAAATTTTAAAGACCAATGATGTATACATATTCATACACCAAGTCTAAGATTTCGGTGTGATTATACTAGTATTAATGTGCCAGATCCTATCAGTTAAGTGTATTTGGACGAAAAAAATATTAGGATGAGTGACCTCTTGGTAGAGATGGCGATCATGGATCTGGACCATGGGTCTGGTCCGTAAAGAACTGTCATAGAACGGTATTAGGACGAGGTTTTCTAGACCCATAAATTAGTGGACCTCGCGGGACAGGTCTTTGTGGGACTAGGTCTTTTTGGGATGAGCCGAAACGGGTCTTGTAGGATTACAACGACCCATATTTTTCTCTTCATTTCTTGTTTTACCTGAAAAAAATGAAAAAGTGAGTGAGAAGACGACGATTCATGTGACTTCCCCAAGAAAACGTAAGGAGCTCTAACGATGATGATTCGAGCTTCGGTGATGTTGATTCGAGCTCCGGCGATGACGATTTGAGCCTTGGCGGTGTTTTGATTTAGTTTTCTCTTTTTATTTAATCTAAGATTGGTAGCTTTGATTTAGTGTTCAATTTTATTTAATTATGAATTTATGAGTTATAAGATCATGAAAAATGTCTTTTGTAATTATCTTTACTTTGCATGTTAATATGTTTTGGATGTGACAAAAATAACTACAACTATTATTTTGAATAAAAATAAGCAAATCAATGACCGGTGAATTATATCAAGTTGAATCGATGACTTGAACCATGTTCCAGAGTAGCCTGAAGCGTTTTGGAGTAGCTTGAAATGTTATACTGCGTATATTATCACTTGTTGCGTGGATCGACCCATAAAGACTTGTACATATAGCGGGACGGTTTGGATAGCCATTCTGAAGACTGCAGTCCATGCCGACCTAACCCGTTATGATCCACTTGAAAAAAATCCCGGTACGGTCTTGGACGAAATAGGACGAGACAACCTGTTCATCATCTCTACGTCTCGGATAGTGCTCATGCTACAAAAATTAAATAAATTAAGATTTTGTAGAAAACTACATGAATATATCGAAAACATATCTCGTCATTGTATCTATAATGTAAGCCAGTGTATACAATTTCAACGTGTGATTCATCCTCAATTTATAGACATAAGCAAAGATCTTAAAAGGTCTAATAATACACAAGTAAAATCATGACCCGAGCCTAGAGTACTTAACTTGTGTATGTTTGATTTCATATACACATATATTGTATTAGTTTCAATCAAATGCCACGAATTTTGGCGATGGGGAAATCTCAAATTTTTAGATTTACATGCTTATTTTGTTTCAAATGTTTCTACTTGATGCTGTCTGCATGAGCGATTCAGCATAAGATGGTTGAAAATCTAGGCATACGAGAGTGAGGATGATGAGAACTTTTCTATCTCATTGATGAACTCAAAGCCGAAGATTATATACAAAATCAATCAATATTTAATTAGAGATACAGAAATTATGTGTAAATCATATCAAGAGAATCAAGTTGATTGACGAGCTTGATACGGCGGAGACAACGAGATTGACTCGGTGAAGATGGGTCTGATGTGGGCTTGATATCAGTACGTTAGTTTGACAGACAGAGCCCATTGGGCTGAGTCCTCTAACAGTGGTGATCGAACAATAACAAAGAAAGAGCTGGAGGCAATGATCTTTTTGGAAAAGGAAAAAGTATCAATAATTTTGTGAAAAATGAAGAAATGTATTACTTAGGTTGTGAGTGGGAAAGTCCAGCGTAATAGAGAGGAAATAAAATGGTTGGAAGTTGAGTAAAATAAAAGAGGTGGACAGAGGAAAAATGATAGAAAAAAGAGTAAATGATTTTTTTTATAAATTAAGATTAAAAATTTAGAGTTTTTTTTTTTTTCATTTTATCTACAATACATATAGTACATATTGTATAATGATGAATTACCTGATTGGTAACATTTTAGCTGAATATGAAGTAAATTAAAGTTCATAATAAAAATTTATTCTATAACTATCATCTAGTTACACTCTTAAGTTTTTTTGTTAATGTTGATTTATTAAGATATTACAATTATGAAAAAGTTTATATAGACGATTCGACAATCGACATTACTATATATCTTATGATGATCTAAACTTAACTGCATTGAGACTTCTTATGAAGATCCATGCCTAGCCGAGTTTACTTATACTATCCTGAAGATTTCTTGTAAGCTTTTCCTTCGTAACATGCATAATCATTTTTATATTATTTGCGAAGTGATTTTGACATGTGTCATCACCACAATCAATTTCACCAAAAAAATTATGACATGTACACTAATAATGATGACATGGCTTGTAGTTAATTGTGACATGTATATATTTGGTAAGTTTTTAGAATATGACAATAATTGATGTATTACATTTAATGTTGATTTATATTTTTGGTAAACTTCTTAAAATATAGTAATAACTCATAAAGCAAATCATCACTGAAATAAATATACGGAAATATGAATTATAAATTTCGAAATGTTATTTAATTTTACTTTTATAATTATACAATTTTATTACTAATATTTTCAAAATTTTCTACATCTTTTTTAAAAAATTAATAAAGTTTTAATCGTAATGTCATTAGTTTCTTTTAGATATCGATAAATTTTATAAATATTGTTTAGTTATAATACATTTATATGAATTATATGAATTTTTATAAAATTTTATTACTAATATTTTCAAAATATTGTTTAGTTATAGTTCATTATATAAATTTTCTTAGTAATTTTATACAAGTTGATTTAATACATTTAACCAAAATAAATAGATAAATAAATTTAAATTTTAAATTTTAAATATATTACATATATATTATTAAATATAATTTAAAATAAACACATTTATTTATTTTTCTTAATTTTGTTCTTAATCAAATTAAATTTATATTAAATATTAGTCAAAATAATAAAATATATAATATTAATAAAATTCATTTTTAATATAATTAACTTTTAAAAAGTTTATCACACACCTAATTGTTTAATAAATCGTTTTTGCCAAGAATTGAAACCTGGACTTCTTGGTATGAAAACATTAATGAATGCTCAGTCAAACCACTGGACAAAAAGAACATAACTATTAAGTTTTGAATTGTTTAGTTTTAGAGGAAATAAGAATATTTGAAAGAAGAAATCAGTAAAAGTTATAAAGTAAAGGAGTAATATAAAAAGTTTTCCATCTAATAATTTTAAGTGGGAAGTTTTTTTATGTTGATAAGAATTCCAATACAGTTTAGATAACTAAGAACATCCTCATCAACAGATTTCTCATTATCATAACCTTTTAAGTTTGATGATTGATTTCTCCAGCATTATTGTAATATTCCAACATTTTACATTAATGGAAGAATTTATTCTAAGATTAAGCCAATTGTGTACCAAAACAAGAATCGTTTATACTCCTTAAATGGAGAAAATAATCGCTAATGTAGTTTGTTGCGTATGATTGTGTTACTAAGGAGCAGATCTTGTAGCCACCACTGGATCTTGTGGCTCATCATCAAACTGATACTTTTCATAAACTTGGAGCAAGAGATCACGGCAACGAACGGTAGCACCAAGCTTGATACAAGCCAAGAAAGCACCAGATAGTTTACGGTGAAGACTATAGGCTTCATCAGGTGGTGGTGTGAGTCTATGTTTCAACATGGTTGCTCCTAAATTCGAGACGCTCGAAGTAATGTTGTTGGTTCTGAAAGCATAGCCACCAGGCTCTGCAAAAGGTAGACCCACAATGAAACCAGCTTGGACGTGAGCATCTAGCATCACGTCTGGTTCATCTCCGGTTAAGAACCCGAGTCTCCTCGACATCTCAATCACTCCTTTACTGTCTTTATCAGCACAAGCCATCACCTGCAAAGACAAGGGTCAACATATAAACCAATGCCCAAGGAGACGGTAAAGAGAAGCTTTATACAAAACTAGCGTCTAAGTGGATTATTAGGAGATTATAGGTTAACAAATTATCAATTTATTTATATATATTTTACATTTACATTATATATTTTAGTTTTTGTACTTAATTATAAATTATTTTTGGTGACTTATATATACAATAAAAACTAAACTAAACTTGTGGCTTTGCAGTTTGCACTAAAGTTATTAGTTAATTTAACAGAATTAGACCAATTTAGATTGATTTAAACCAATTTAAGTTGCGGATTTTTAAAAAATTGTTTCGGCTATAGCCAATATGCCAATATGCCGCCTAGACCGATTTTTAAAACCTTTGATATTAAACTGTTGTCACAAGATTCAATGGTAAAGATCAAGTTTGTTACCATTCGTAGATAGTCATCGACGAACTTCTTGGGGTAATCACGAGCTGCTCCGAAGTCGATAAGATTGATTGTTTTTGTGGGTTCATCGTATAAGAAGTTACCCCAGTTTGGATCTGTCTGCATGAAGCGGAAAACAAAGAGTTCTTTCAATGTGAGTTCGAGCATCTTCCTCCCGACATAATCTCGTGTTTCTTGATCTAACAAGGCTACTTTATCAATGGGGATTCCTGTAATAAGAGAGCATGGATCAGTTCACCATCACAGATATGTAAAACAGAGTAAGCTGTTACACTTTACCAGAGATAAGTTCTGTGGTTAGAACTTTTTTGCTTGAGAGCTCATCTATTACACGAGGAACGTAGAACCCTGGAGTGTCTGAAAGCAAATCACGGAAGTGCTTTTGACTGATTGCTTCAATCTCATAGTCACACTCTCGTGCCAACTCTTCTTTAGCAACCTGCAAAAGAACTTCGTCATGAATCTGAAGAAACAGCTAAATCAATGATTACATCTAGTTCTACAATTCCATTGATGAGACTGTTCTGTTCTTATACAACCATGTTCTCACGGAGAGGAAAGTGACAATACCTTAACAGCTCTGTCGAGAAAGAGTCCCTTTGGAATGAGATTAGTATAGTTTAACAAGCGTCTGACATTTTCGATATCACTTTCAATGCTGTTGGCAACTCCAGGGTACTGAATCTTCATTGCTACTTCTAATCCATCTTTAGTAACAGCTCGGTGCACCTAAACCCATCATTAGAACGATTCAACACATTCACAAGGACAAAGTAATCATCAGCAAAATTCTTAATGCAGAAACTAAGTTTGTACCTGACCAATACTTGCTGCTGCTAACGGTTCATAATCAAAACTAGCCAACTTAGATTGCCAATTTGGACCTAACTCAGCATCCAAAACTGGATTAAGTTGGCTCCTTGGCATCACATCTGCACCTTGACGCACAAGTTCCAGAGCATTCAAGATCTAGAAAAAGAACCTACTTTACGTCAAACAAGATCAATAACTTAAGGTGAAAGAGGAAGTTTTCTGATAATTACCGGGGCAGGAACAAGACTCTCGTCCTGTATACTCAACATTTGGCCAACTTTAAGTGCAGCTCCACGCATTTCACACAACCCAAGAGCCAATCTCTCTGCATTTTCCTCAGAAAGTAAAGACGAGAGCGCAGGTTGGTTCCCTTGTGTGGGTGGTGTACCATTCACAAGCCTGTAGGTTGATTCTTTAACAGCTCCCCAAGCAAGACCAGCTCCAAGATTGAAAAACCTTTAACAAAACTCAAATATTTGTTAAAAGCTTCATCCTTAAGTTAAAATCAATTGCCAATAAGTAGATTGGCATAGTTTTCTATATATTAGTTCATTAATTTTCCAAGTAACGCGATGTTAGGATAACAACCATAGAGTGACCCTGGCTCTGTTAACTTTGGCGTTATTGTGTGTTTCTAAATTAAAAACAATAAGCTCTAATACTTATACCATCTTAAATATTATGTAATTTCAAATTAGAAACAATTGTCAGAAACTGGATTGGTCTTAATTTTTTATATATTAGTTCACTAATTCTCCAACTATGTGATGACTTTAGTTCACTAACATCTAAGCAAGTAAACGGTTTGCTAATGGCTTCATTTATCAAGTTCGAGTTTACTATGAGCCACAACTTAAAACCTGTTAGCACTAAGTGAAGTGACACTAACTCTTTATATATTACAAGTGACTCAACAACAGATGGATTTTATATATTAGTACACTAATTCTCCAACTATGTGATGACTTTCGTTCATTAACATCTAAGCAAGTAAAGGATTTGTTAATGGCTTCATCTATCAAGTTTGGGTTTATTATGAGCTCACAACTTAAACCAATTCATCTATCAAGTTGAGGTCACAACTTAAAACCAATTCGTAGTAAGTGGATTGAATATATAGTTCCTTAGTTCTCTAACAACCGACATGAAGTGATTTTCATTCATTAACACGTTCAAGCGTAGTATTGTGAGAATAACATTCCAAGCGACTCAACTTATGAGTTTCCAACTTAAAACCAATTGCCAATTAATCGAATTTACAAATTAGTTAATTAATTCTCTAACTACCAATGACTCTAATGTAAAAAAGAGTTTTACCCATAAGCTCTAGCCATAGGAGTTGAAGGAACCTTCCTTTCTCTAGGCTTCCTTCTCTTCACCGGAGCCACCTCCAACGGAGACGATCCTACTCCAACTCCAACTCCAACTTTCTCTCCATCTCTATCCGAAACCCTAACTTCATCGATCTTCGAATCAACAACAACAATATCCTCAACGGAGCTACTAGGTTTCGCAACGACCTCAGGCGTGACGGAGACGGTTACATCGACTTTACTCGATCCTTTGTCATCTCCCTCGTCGAAGTACACGACGGAAGGTTCCTTAGATCGACGGTTAGAGAGGTTACGAAGCTTCCCGGAGGTGAGTCCGACCAAGTCGGTGGCGGCGACTAAAGCTTTTTTCCCCAAAGCTTCGAGATCTCCGTTTCTAGCTCTCTGTAACTCGGGAGACTGGTGGTAGATCTCCTTCGCTACGAGCGATAGGCCGTCGACGAGCCGGCTTAGTTGCTTCCACGACGGACTCATTTCAACGATTCAATGGCGGCGGCGCGCGGGGATTAGTTGTGTGATTTTTGATTTCTTTATTCAGCATTTGGTTTTTGAATCATTTTTCGGAGATTTGATTTTTTTTTTCTTGAGGGGAAAGTTTTAAAGAGGTGTGTTCGTGCGTTGGAACACGAAGGTCGGAGAGACGGAGAAGCAAGAGGTTTACGTGGGGGTACGACAACCAAGAAACTCTCTCTCGTCTATGAAGTTTTTAGTTTCGGCCCAGTATAATTTATTTACCGTTACTATATAAGGCCCATTGGGTCATAAATTATTTCTACCTTTACCAATATTGGAGATTTTTTTAAGTATTTAAAAAAAACAATATTTTAACTAATTCTAAACATTTTTCCCTCTCTACCCCTCCCCAACCCAGTTAAATGCTACTGATGTTATAAGATTCAGTTTAAGTTTACATATTATCAGAGATGACCCTTGGACCAAACCAATGAAGTTCATGTTTCTGATCTTAGTATTTATAACCATATTTGGGCCATTATTATATCAAAAATTGTATTAGTATAGTGGTTAAAACTCTAGAAATCAGTTTTAATTTAGTTTATCTAGGTTTGAACCTTGCCTAGTGCATGTTTTTAGGTAGTTCTTTTTGATAAAGAGGTCACCTTTTTATTTTTATTTTCAGTTTTATAACACTTAGAGCATCATTATCGATCGTATATAGATGGTCTCTTATGATTAAAAGAAAATCAAAAATACAATTAATTAGAATATACGTCTCTTATTTGGGGCTAAACTAGAGACGTGTTTAGAAGACACGTGTAGGCAAAATAAGAGGAGAGAGGAGGAGCGTCGACGAAACTCTCTCTCTTGATTCCTCTCTCCGGTGGATCCGAAGTTCTCCGCGTCGTCTNGATCTCTCGACGAGACGGTGAAGCTCTGTGAGAGTTGTGGAGTATAGACTTGTGATTGGTGTTTCTATGTCGTGGAGCAGATCGTGTCGTCTATTACCATATTATCCCAGAATATCAGACGGATGAGAAGGTTCGGAGGTTTGGGAAGGTGACGTTCGATACGCTCTCAAAGGTTGCGACTAAGGAAGCTGATGCCGCCGCTCAATGTGGGAAATCTCGTGGAGTCGTAACTAAGCCTGAGACTTGTGGTCAACAACTCAGTACCACGGTAACCATCTCTTCTTTGATTTTTTTTATTAGCTTTTGAGTTTGACGAAGTTTATTTAGAAACATTCACTTAAATAAGTTTGTGATTTGGATTGGATTCTTGAGTAGGAGAAAGAAACAAAAGAAATGTATTGATGTTGTGTTGCTTTCTCTGAAGTCTGAACTATAGATGTTGAGTAATAGATGAATGAACAACCATAATGACTGAAATGCAAGAACTAGTGATTTTGGTTTAGTGTTTTTGGAAATATATAGTCATTAAGACACTACTGACGTTGCTTAACTGTTGAATCTGAGCGGCATGTTCTGATACTTCAGTCTTCTATTCTTTTCTTTCTTGAAATAGAGATGTAGAGAGTAATGATGACAAATGAAAGGCCATGATTGTATAAAATGCAGGAAAAATGTAAATGACTTAATGGAACTGCAGCAAAGGGTATATGTGCGAGGTGGGAAGAAAGAAGAAGAGGAGATAGAAGTGGAGGTGTACAATCAAGGGATGACGAAGACAGAGCTCTGCAACAAGTGGCAAGAGACAGGGGCATGCCCCTACCGTGACCACTGCCAGTAGCCTCAGCCTCAAAGGAGTGAAGCCTGACGTTGTAACCTACACTACAATGATCTGAGGCTTGTGTAGTAATAGATTAAAGCATGAAGCAGATGCCCTGTTCAAAAAAAAACGAAACAAGATGATCCACGAGAGANAAGACAGAGCTCTGCAACAAGTGGCAAGAGACAGGGGCATGCCCCTACCGTGACCACTGCCAGTAGCCTCAGCCTCAAAGGAGTGAAGCCTGACGTTGTAACCTACACTACAATGATCTGAGGCTTGTGTAGTAATAGATTAAAGCATGAAGCAGATGCCCTGTTCAAAAAAAAACGAAACAAGATGATCCACGAGAGAAGACGAGTGGTAGAACAACTCTCTTCCCATTAAAGCATCTGTGAGGTAAATTAAGTTATTAAATTCTGATGTTACATATATTTTGATTTTATGTATTGGTGGAACTTTGTGTTTGAGCTCCGTGAACAAACAAACTTGTGATGAGCATTGTTTTACTTTTGATTTGGTTCTTTAGCCAGACTTCTTTCTTTTACAATTTTGCCAGGTTTAATTTACCTCCTAAACGTAAAACAAATGTTTACTCATATAATTTTTTTTAAGAACCCACAATTAAGAAATCTGCAATAAACCACCTAAATGTTCAAATATCTTTCTAAGTTTCTTAATTCACTTTGACACTTTAAAACCTATTAAAAATTAACTAAGAGACCCTTCAAGGGGTTTAGGGATAATGATGACCGGTTCTGTATATTATATAGTGTAACGACAAATACATGTGTGTTTTACTTTTTTTTTGACATAAGCTCATTTTCATTTTTACAAAACAAATAAATAATTATTTGTGTCAGGTAAGTTTTAGAAAATAGACTGTATAACTGACTTATTTATTCTAACGGTCGAAAACCAATAATTATTGAATGTGGTGGCTAAAAGTTGTGTGAAATGTAAGAATCTTTGATTAATTAAAGTTTAAATGTCTCCACTCACAAGTAACATGAGAAAGTAATTATATAACACACTTTAACCCCTCCCCTCCCCACCCCTACCCCCAAAAATAATCCCCCACACACCAAAAATAAAATAATATATATAATACAAAAACGAGATCCAGACATAGATGGTGTCATCATCCTTCTATGATGACATCATCCGTAATGAAGCGGCAGCGACAATTGTTCTAAGTGTCACTCATGATCAGCGCCATCAATCATATATAGCCAGATATGCTCTGGTGTGGCTTTATCATCTTCTCGCTTTAGAGACTCAAGAGTAAGGGATCAATTAGGTGAGCTTCCTTTCATTTTGCTGTCGGGGTCTACTAACTTCCTATCTTATTTTTCTTTATGTATCTTCTGTTCCCAATGTTGTACGATCCTTGATTTAAGTGGTATAAAAAAAGATGGTGTCATCATCTTTAAAATAAATTTGCTCCTAACCCATTATTTTGTTTAATTCTCAGACTTAATTAAGGATTTTATTTTAACTTTCGGTTTTATGAAATCAAAGTTATACGTTAGTATATCAATGTTATAGTACAGACCAAATTTAATATGTTAAAACAATATTTTAACTAATTCTAGTATTTTGCCACTCTCAACCCCCTTCTCCCCATCCAGTTAAATGCTACTGATGTTATAAGATTCCCGTTGAAGTTCACATATTATCAGAGGCGGTTTTTGGGTCAAACCAATGTAACTCATACTTTTGGGCGTATTATTTATAACCATATTTCAACCATAAGTATATTAAAAAATTGCCTTAGTATAGTGGTAAATTATATTCTAGAAATCAGTCTTTATTTAACCTGTGTTCAAAAGTCGCCTAATGCATGTTTTTGGGCATTTTTTTTTTTGATAAAATGGTCATATTTTTATTTTTGTTTTTAACCTTATAAAACCTAGAACCAGTTCTGCATATTCTATAATGTAACGATAAATACATGTATGTTTTACTTTTGTTTTGACATAAGCTTATTTTCATTTTTACAAAACAAATAAATAATTAAAAAAATAGATTGTATAACTGACTTCATTGTTCTAACGGTCGAAAACCAATAATTATTGAATGTACTGGCTAAAAGTTGCGAAATGTAAGAACCTTTAATTATTTAAAGTTTAAACTTATTAGCCGAGTGCAATGTATCTCCAGTCACAAGTAACATGAGAAAGTAAATTATATAACACACTTTACCCCCCTCACCCCCCCCCCTCCTCTCCACGAAAAATAAAATAATATATATAATACAATAATACACAATCAAGATCCAAACATAGATGGTGTCATCATCTTTAAAATAAATTTGCTCCTAACCCATTATTTTTATTTAATTCTCAAACTTAATTAAGGATTTTATTTTAACTTTCGGTTTTAAGAAATCAAAGTTGTGTTAGTATATCAATGTTATAGTACGAACCAAGTTTAGAAATCATTTCGAATATAAAATTGGGCAAGCCACTCAGACTTGTCATCTTGGTAGGCAGTATACTTTCGGGTTGAATTAGAAATACGACATAGTTGGCATCTACCTACAGGTCTTCATCATTGGGCTACTATTTATACAATATTAATATATTAACCGAGATTGGTTTCAGTTAAGAATACAATTAGTCTTGAGATCTTCGAAAACATCTGAGAGCTTTGACAAACAAGACGAAGAGAAAAAACATGTCCACTAGATCTCAAGAACACCAAACCCTTGAAGGTATATGTACTCAATCTTATTAGTTTTAAAGCATGTAATATGTTTGACATCGTTTGTTAAAATTTTGCTCTCCCGTCAAGATCCTGAAATCCAAACTCAACCTTCTATCACTCGAGGACTTTTTGCTTGCGTAGATAAGATCTGTGTTTCTTTATTGATCATATCATAGAAAATGATGAATATATAGACTTTTGTTCTTGTGACAAAAAAAATATAGATTTTGTTTAGGTGCAAGTATTTTGTTGTTCTTTAATGAGAAATCTATGAATGATTTTCATGAAGACTATATTTTGAAGATCATTTGCACAAGTTCATTCAACTTCGTAATGAATTTAAAGACCATCACTCTAAACATAGAGCCAATATAGGTTTTTCCCAAAGCTCATTTGGATCCAGACATATATAAAGTTTGATGTCATTTATTTAATAATGGGATATACAAGGTCAGTGACTGTTTAGTGAAAATGATTATTTTTAGGGGGTAAAGAATTTAAGCAGTTTACGTGTAATGTTATACTAGAATATAAAATTCAATATATCATAAATTTTTTTAAAAGATATATTATATCATATATCATGTTAACATACTTAAAAAAATGTTAGCATACTTAATATTATTAATAATATGTTCTGTAATCACTATAAATGTTTTTTTTTAAAAGTTACAGCCAAAAATGAATAAATGTGTGCTATATAAAACATAAACTAACCGGCAACACTTAAGAAAATCTATCAATATATAGCACAAAAGTAATACAAAAGTTTGTAAAACTACAATTATTAATAATGTGTTATGCAATACATATAAAGTTCTAGTTTTTCACGTCATATATAAAGTTGAGTTAAGCGCAGTCGTTTGGCTGAAGCATTTCTAGATTCGTTCGTCTCCAAACTCTGTTAGGCTATGGAGTGCTTTACGCCACTTAAAGGTATTAGTAAAGATTAGCTCCGGATCAGGGATGACTACGGACCTATGGGTTACGAAAATTCTCCCGTTAAAAAATAAAAAGTTATATAGAATAATAGATTCATAGCATACATAAATATGCACAACGTAAATTAATAACCGTCAATACTTTATATTTTGAATATATATAGCATAATATAATGAAATACATTCAAATATCACATATTCTGTCCTAAAAATAACACACAGTAATTTTTTCAAAATAATATTGATTGAAAGTTTTCTAAAAACAACTAAAGCATATCTATAACTATTATTTTTTAAGATAGAAAAAACTCTTGTTAAAAAATATGTAAAGAATAAATTATATAATATATATATTATATTTGATTTTATGTTTACAGTTTATGGGTTGATATATATTTAGTGGGGGGTGGTATTTAGGATTTAGGTTTGGGATAATTTTGTCTTAATAAATACATTTTTGAAAATTTTAATGCTATTTTATGATAAACATTTTTAATATCATCTATGGATTTTGCCCAAAAATAATATAATTCCTTTACATTAATAGCTTATTAAATACGATAATTTTCCGATATAGTTATTGTAAACTAATTATATAATTACTGAATGAAAAAATTGTAAAACAAAACAATTCATTCTATAAAAAAAATTGTGTGTTTTGTATATAGAACCTTAATATGGATTAACAAGAAAGAAAAAAAGAGGCCCAAATAAAAGCCCTGCTTTCTAGACTTCCCAGATAGATCTCTATAGAAAGAAACAAACAATGCAGTCTCCTCCTATCGTATTAAACTTCTCCGCCTTTCCCCACCCACGCGCCGCTGCATTAGCCACCACCTCCTCCAACGTAGCGACTTCACATTCTCCGTCGATAAAATTTCACTATACCAACGCATCTCCATCCTCGACACTACTTCTAGCTTCTTCTTCTCGTAGATGTTTCACCTGCCGATTTGGCAACGATTCGAACGACGACGACGATTATTGTAACGACGATGAGACTGAAACAGATGATTATTCGGTTGATTTGGTAGGTGAAGATGGGGTTCTCATCTCGGTGGAGAAGCTTGATAAGAGCTCGCGGCGAATCCGTTCGAAGATTGGAATGGAAGCGAGCCTCGATGCTGTGTGGAGTGTTCTGACTGATTACGAGAAGCTGTCGGAGTTCATACCGGGTCTTGTCGTCAGTGAGTTGGTGGAGAAGGAAGGCAACCGTGTTCGTCTTTTCCAGGTTTCTTTTTTTATCTCATTACATCACATTTTGATAGATTCAGATAAATTTTTGTCTGTTGATCTTATCCAACTTGGGTGATAGAGAACCGTGTTCTTCTTTAGGCATGCTGGTTTTTTGGTTAGTTTGGTTCGAATAAAATTAGACCGAAAGGAAATTCAGTCTAATCTTCGGTTAATTTTTTGGTTAATAAAAATTCTGCAAAAATTAATAGAAGTTTGAAATTTTGGTTACATTCCGTTAAAATTTAGTTAAAAAATTAAGGGTAATAATTTGGTTAATGATAATTCTGCTAAAATTAATAGAAGTTTTTAATTTTGGTTTGATTCCGTAAACATTCAGTTAAAAAAAAACTAGATCTCGACCCGCCGGGTATTTTAATACGAAAATATGTAAAATTATATAATATTCCGTCCGTTTATAATTAGAAGATGTTTTAAAAGATTTATTTTGTTTCAAAATATAAGATGTTTTGAAATTTTTAGGGGTATCTTGAGGTTTTAAGATTACTTTTAACTATATTGTAAATTATTCAACCAATAAATTTTACTTTTTTTTAGTAATTGGTTGAATGATTTTAAAATTATCTTTACAAATACTTTTGTAAAATAATATAAATTTCTTTTTTTTTGGGATCCAAAAACATCATATATTAAGAAATAGAGGGAGTAAAATTTATCAATAACTAATTATAATTTGTAGTTTATATACTATCCAGTTTTATAATATTATTTATGTGGCTTATAATATTATTAATATAAATTTTATAATAGTATTTGTAACAATTTTAAAAGACATTATTATGTAACATTACTAATTTATATATTTTCTTTTATTTCTAAATTTAAAATATATGTAAAAGGTAAATTAAGTTGGACCTACATAATACATAAACAAAATTTTGGGATATTGTTAAAAGTAGTTCACATAATTTTAATTTTGTTATATAAATAAAAAACAAATTAAAATTTTTAATTATATTTTATGATAATTAAAAATTTTAATCAAATAATTTTCGAAACTATATCTTGAAAAGATTCTAAAAGATTTTTAAAAGATTTGTTAGAATTTTCTTAAAACTATTTATTTGTATTTCAAATAAAAATTAAAGATATGAAAAGATATTATAATGATGTAATGTAAAATTTTATAAAATTTCTAAGATAAACTAAAAAATCACACATGAAGTGAATCATGAGATCTCTTTTAATATAATAGATTCAAGGTAATTTCGGTTATATTCGGTTAGTTCATTTATTATGATTCAAAAGAAAAACTAGTTCAACTCAGAATTTTGGTTAGAATTACTCCATCCGTTTCACTTTTGTAGTTTTAGGTTTTTGCACATAAAATTGAGAAAACATTAATTTTACATATTTTCAAAATAAAAACATAATTACCTATACAACTAACCATTTTTTAACTAATATAAAAATAAAATAACATATAAAACAAAAATTTTAAAGTAAATTGAGGGAGTACTACTTTTACTTGAACAAAACGATCTAACCACTACCGTTTTTAATAATTTGTCAACCTGAACCGAACTCATAACCCAACCTGAACCGTTTTTTTTTTTGTGCGCTTACCATATTGTCTATTTAAGTTTTGTTCAAGTTTATTGTATCAGAGCATCAAGTGGTGTATTTGTCATAATGGACAGCATCGATCTCATTCTCATGTTTGTCATTTGTGTTTCTTTTGACAGATGGGGCAGCAGAACTTAGCATTAGGTCTAAAGTTCAATGCCAAGGCTGTTCTAGATTGTTTCGAGAAAGAGCTTGAGATTCTACCACATGGGAGGAGACGTGAAATCGACTTTAAGATGGTCGAAGGAGATTTCCAGTTGTTTGAAGGCAAATGGTCCATCGAACAAGTAATAATACTAATCATCTTCAAACACATTCATAGACCTTTCCACATAGCTGGTCTTGATTCGTATTTGTGTTTTTTTTCCTTGTTACACAGTTAGACAAAGGGGAGGCTTTGGATTTACGGTTTAAAGATTTTCCGACCACGCTTGCATACACTGTGGATGTAAAACCAAAGATGTGGTTACCTGTACGGCTAGTTGAAGGGAGATTGTGTAATGAGATCAAAACAAACCTTTTGAGTATTAGAGATGCAGCTCAGAAAGTCATTGATTGTGTTATTCATGATCTTTGAGTTTTCTTTTTCTCTCTTTAGCCCACGTTGAAGTAGTGTTTCTACTTCTCTGCACATTTTTCTCACTTGTATATTCTGATCTATATAGTCTTTGAATATGCCAAGTTTTTCCCACATGTGATTGTAGTATACCAATCAGAGATCGCAAAATACTTTTATTAAACCGGAATTTGATTTGAAATTAAGCTTAAGGTTTGGATTGTCTTCGAAGGAATCAACTTTAGTGAGTGACTTGCAGAAGAAGCATATTGCTATGTCTTCTTGTTACTTATAAAAAAAAGAGGTGCTCTGTTTTAAACCACAACTTGAATAAGTTTCATATTATAATGTTGAGAATGAATATAAAGATGAATTCTACAATGAGATATAAGAGGACCTCAAAAAGTAAATCTTTTGAGATATCCTTCATTAATATATATATATATATATATATAGTAGTAATACATGTATTGTCTTCATTAAATGTACAAATACAATCATCACTGCTTGAGTCTTCTCCAGATTATAAACTCTCTGGAAGCAAGACTATAATACAGCTACAAAACAAGAAGCTTATGGCAGATGATGATGATGCAACATAGAAAACAAAACAAATTTAGTTTGATATCAGAATTGGATGTTACTCTTGAAGCTCTGACCAAACCGCCAGTTGGAAGGAACAACGTTGAGAGCTGCTTTGATTCTTCCATTGCCAAGCTGAACTTTGAAAGAGAGAGATTGACCATTAAGGTAGGTGTTGCTTTGCCAGTTAGCTCCCCAGTTTCTTGACATTGTCTCCCATTTGTTTCTCCTAGAGCCTTTGATCCAAACTTTAGAAATCTCACCAGCTCCTCCTACGTTTGAGATTAGAACCAGCTCAAAATAGTTCCTACCGTTCATAGTGAATCTCATACCTCCGCTTCTTCTGCATCCAATCCTATAAACACAAGAACCCTTTTAAGCACTATTTTATTGATCTAAAATAGTAATTCCTACTTTTTCTATAAGATATATTTTGGTGTTTTCCCGTGTATTAAGAATATATATTAAATTTTAATTTTTTTTTCTTGTCGTCAACTTGTGAACCAAACTGGTATATTTTAAAATATTTTATATTTCACTATTAGCTATTTTCCATACGGGAAAATTTCATATAAATACTCCAACTAAATTTTATTAAACTTTTTAATACCCAAACTTTTTCACTACCCAATTTAATACCTCAACTAATAATTTTTCCCCCTTTAATATACAAACTTTTATAACTGTGCCAATTTTAATACCTAAACTTTGTTTATTTTAATTAACAATACTAATAAGTTTCAAACAAAATTTTTAAAAATCTCCAAAATCTAAGAGAAAATATTTAAAATTTCTAAGTTTACTCTAAGACTTAAGAAAGAAGGTAAATAAACTCTGGAGAAAATTTAAATTTAAAAAAAAAATTGAAGGAAAAAAAAATAATTTACTTTTTATTTCAGAAAATAAACTAAATTCAAAATATAAAAATTAAAAAACTTATTACAAAACTTAAGATTATAAAAAAATTTATTTAATTTCATTTCTCTAACATATAATAAAATCAATTTTTTTGTAAAGTTTAGAAATTTTAAATTTTTATTGGAAACGTATTCGTATTGTTAATTAAAATAAACAAAGTTTGGGTCTTAAAATAGATACATTGATAAAAGTTTGTGCATTAAAATGAGCAAAATAATTAGTTGGGGTATTAAACTGGGTAGCGAAAAAATTTGGTATTAAAAAGCTTAATAAAATTTAATTGGGGTATTTATATGGAATTTTCCCTTTCCATAATTTTAGTTCATTTAGAATAAATAAGTACAAAATGATTGTTTTTGTAACAGTGCAAATGATATTTTTGAAACTTACGATTTACTATTATTACATAATATAAACAAGAAAAAATATAATCTTTGAAACAAATATTTTTCTGAATCATTTTTTTTTTTTGAAAATGGAGGGAGTATATTTTAGTTTGATAGATCATAGATGTATATTGAATATAAATTGTAAATTTATTACCTTCTGTAGAGGATGGGAACTATTCCAGCTTTGTACTTAGCGATGGTGAGAAAGGCAGGCTGAGCCATGTCAAAGTGAGGTCTTGGTGGGTTGCACCATCCACCATTGTCACTTGCTTGAGCAAAGTTTGGTGGACAGAAGTTTGTGGCTGTGATTGTGATTGATCTACCCTTAAGACACCATTGTGGCACTAATATTATAAGACACCCTTAATAATATGAGTTGGTGATGATTGACCCAATATTATAAGAGTGCGTAAAATACGGAGTTTTCAAGCATATGATAACTAAGTTAAGCCTATAAGGCATGTGACTTTCATTTAATTGCTCTCTTTTCTTAAGTATTAAATTGATTTATCTTGTCAACCAAGTTTTATAAGTTTTTATTGATTTTTTTAGCAGAATAGTGAAACGGCCGTTAGTATATAAGTAAAAAAAAATATAATAGACTTGTGCAGCATTTTACAGTAATGGAACAATAAAAATGGCGACGGATGATCCAAATGCATTTACACATTTGATGCAAAATGCATTTACACATTCAACATGTATTTGTGCGATCTAATTATATAAACAGGCTGTGCTTACAACGTGTCTAGCTCGTAAAGAATTAGTTAAGCTATTACATTACATTAAATAGAGTTATAGTATTATAAACTATTAATTACATATGTACAGACAAGTCTTCTCTTGACAATTCAACGTACGACATCAACTGATAAGAGCTCCTCCATTTACGCAAATTCCGTGGTACGTTGCAAATTGCCAACTCAAGATGATAAACTGATTATATATTTATCAAGGTTTCTATACTTTGAAGCAAATCGTTTTAAATACAGTTTTGTAATAAGCAGTAATAAGACTGTTTTTAAAGTATATTTAAAACAAAGAAAAGCAAATAAAGTGGATCATCATTATCTTGTAACTCAAGTAGTAAAGTCTAGTGTTGGGCATTCGGGTTTTCGGATCGGGTCAGTTCGAATTATTTGGTTTTCGGGTTATTCGTGTTGGGGTGTTTAGGAACATGGAATTTTTCGGATCAGTTCGGTTCGGATTATGTCGGGTTTGGATCGGGTTCCTATTTTTTTATAAAACCCAAAGTGGAACTGAATTAGAAATAGTTCGGGTTTTGTCTGGGTTTAAAGCCCAAAAACAAAAACAAAAACCCAAAATCCGAGTTAAACCCAGAAAATATTCGGGTAATTCGAGTTTTTGGATATTTTTTCTTTAAAAATTGCATTTTATATATATTAAAATTAAAAATAATTAATATTTTTTATTATATTTAAAATATTCGGGTACCTGTTCGGTTCTCGGTTTGGTCCTGGTTCGGTTTTATGGGTTTAGAAAATAGGAACCGTTGGGGGTTTTTGTAATTTTTCGTCTGGTTTTGGTATCAATTTTTTCGGTTCGTTCCCGTTCGATTTTCGGTTTAAGGATAAAATGCCCAAGACTAGTAAAGTCAATCCGAATTAAGTTAATAACATGTAAAGTAGTCTAAAGAGATGCATGCAACACTTTGTTGTTTAATTATTCACAGCTTTTTTTGTTGGTCGTCGTGTTGCTGTACAAAGGTTAACTCACTTACTTCCCTAAGTTGAATACTTGAATTTAGATTCCTTGTTTGATAAATAAAATATTACACTCAGGGCAATTATCAAGTTTATATCGACATTATGGGGCACATTAGACTATTCAGACACTTTCTTGTAACAAATGACTTCTTTTTCAAAAAACTAGTTTCTTTTTCTTCTTTCCTAATTATGTCGTCGGTTAAGAAAATAAAAAAAAATTGTGTTTTAGCGGGAACAAACCTGAGCCACACATATCTCCCCCACATGGACGGTCCAGATTAAAACTGCTACATTGACAAGACTTATATCTGTCTCTTTTATCAGCCATTGGATTTGGTTAGTACTTTGAATTTTAATGGTCCATATTGCAAAATTTTATCTTCATCCTTACTATCTTCATCAACCTGTTTTTATTTTTTCGACGGCAACAAAAACACAATCAAATGTTAATCTCTCACTCAGTAATTCCAAAGACCATTAACCACTCTTAATCCAATCCATTAATCAGGCTTCCAAACCCATGTTAAAACTCATTTAAACATGTATTGGCTGTGAAGCAGACGCTGCAGAGTTATCTAAACTCATATTTGCTATTCTTTCTCTTCTAATTATTGGCATGCAAAATCCTCTTCCCCACATGTATCATGGCAATTTCCATCAATTTTTAATTTACACCACCACTCATCTTAATGTACACGTTTATTAGTTTTAGTTGTCCACATGATCCACGTTACTAATGACACGTTTTCAAACTAGGTCACCTTCAGCATTTGTTGGGTACACCAACTATCGCCCTAACTCATATGTACATTTAATTTTGTTTACACACATGGATACTGCCTAAATGGAAATGTTTACTCATGAATGCGTTTACTCATATACATGATTACCAACCAATGAATGCGTTTACTCATACACATTTCCACATAGTTTTACTAATATCCTCATATACACATTACATAATGTACACGTGTACACATTTAGCATTAGTCTTGTACATTGCACGTTGAGACTCTGCACTCATGTATGTGGAACTGTGTACACATACACCTGCACCTGTGAACACATAAAATTTACGACTAATCGATGTACATGTGGACACTGTTACCATTAGTCATGTATATTGTTATCCATTAATAGTCACGTGTACAATACAAACAAACCCATGGAGACACCAAAAATCGCTTCCATTCCACAATAAATACTATACAAATGTACATGTTTACAAGTAGTTCTGTACATCGTTAGTGTGGAACTGTGTACACATGTATGTGGAACTGTGTACACATCCACGTGGTACTATGTTACGTTTTTTATTTATATGTACAATGGATACGAACCAACGAATGTGTTTATTCATATACATTTCCACATATGATCTTTACAAACATCATCATATACACATCGACAATAAGCATCGATAGCATCCCACAATAAGTACTGTACATGTGTACACATTTAGCATTAGTCATGTACACAGTACTTATTGGACTGTGTACATATTTTTGTGTACACACGGATACTGTCTATCTGAAAATATTTAATAGTTTTACCAACCAATGAATGTGTTTACTCATATACATGATTACCAACCAATGAATGCATTTACTCATATACATTTCCATGTGATTATTGTACACATATACTGTACCCATGATTACCAACCAAATAATGCGTCTACTCATATACATTCCACATATGATTTTTACAAATACCCTCATGTACACGATAAATGATGTTCATGTGTACACGTTTAGCATTAGTACTGTACATTGCAAGTGGAACTCTGCACACATGTATGTGGAACTATGTACACATATATGTGGAACTATGTACATATCTACGTGGTACTGTGTTACCTTTACAAATATCCTCATATACACATGGACACCAACCCTCGATAACATTCTACAATACGTATTGTACATGTGTACACGTTTAGCATTAGTCATGTACACTGTAATTGTTTGCATGTGTACACATTTTTTGTGTACACATGGATACTGTGTACAAGGTTCATTGCCCATACATATCCATTGTCCATTAATATTCACGTGTACAATGTATATCACATGCCTATTCACGGGTTCCCTGTTGTACACATACACTTCAACAATGATAATGAGGTCGTTTAGCAAAGTAAGCCAAACAACATTTACCTTTCGATATCTCCTTACCACGTCTGTTCCTTCGACTTGCTATCTTCTCTAGATCCAACTCGCTCCTTCAGTTTCAATTCCTGCTTCTACTTCGTCTCGTCTCTCTTTCCTCTTTATTCTTCTTTTTTTTTAACTTTCGAGAATGGGAAATGAAGAAAAAAGAAAACCCAAAAGGCCAATAAAATAACAATATAAAAACTAAATCGGGTTTATTATCTGTCTTGGGTACGTAACCTCTCTCTCTCCATTTCAAAATTTTTAAAAAGGAGAGTAAACGTAGGGTACCAATTCTGAGATAATTGTTACACTTTTTCAGGGGCAAGTTAAGTATTACGACCACAAACTACCTCTGTATAACAAAGTGCTTTTTCGTGACAAGAAAACTCATAAACTGCCTTCTAGTGTAAATTACTCTTTGATAAATGATATATGTATATATAAATACGTAGAGCGCCCCAGGGGCAAAGCCAGGCTATTTAATTACTGGGTGCACTCTTGTTAATAAAATGGAAACAGTCAAAAGGTAGTCTCGAACTTAGGTTGCTATGGGTGCAAAATACCACTTTACCACATGTTCTAAAGACTTTTCATATTTTTCTAAAGTTACATTATCAATTGATATTGCGGGTGCACATACCCCATAGTGGATAATCTGACTTCACCCCTTAGAGCATTCTAATGTAAGTATCTAGCATTGGGTTCTCAATATATATATTGAGAACCGAAAGCTAAATACTTTAGATTGGATTACTCAAAGTATCTATGTTTTGAGATATTTTGGATTTGATTTCTCGTAAAGTTAAAACCTCAAAATTAAATATTAATGTATTTAATTTTACCAGAAATCCAATCCAAAACATCTCAACAGAGATACTTTGAGTTTCGTGTAAGATTAGACATTCATACTTGAAATTCCAGAATGCTAGATATTTTCATTGGGATACTCTTACAGTGCTAGTTGCTAAATACTTGATTTGGATGATTGACCTAACCTAAACCTTGAAATGTCTACGATGGTGGAAGTCAAAACTACAAAATATACAAGTACGTAACATTATCAACTAGGGGAGAAGCTAGAAATTTTTCTTAGTGGGTGCATAATTCGTAAGGAAAAAAATAAAGGGTATAGTGGGTGTTGTACTCTGGATATTTATGGGTGCAGAGAAGGCTTAAATCATTTTAGCAAGATGGAATCTATTGTTTTCTTCTAGAATTATATGATGCGGTTAATTTGATCTTTTGATACTTGCCGCCTAAGGCTGCTTAATATTCCCATTTTTTTATGTAAGCGAGTAACATGCACGAAACATTTTAATTGGTGATTACCTTTATTAGA